GTAACTAAGGGGAGGAAGTGGGAGGGGAGCTGTTGCATTGTAGTAAACTGTGGTCAATGACATGAGACAAAGTATATGTGATCTGCTGTATGGAAAGTGAATTTGCTTTGTAAATCTTCACCCAAATCACAATTAAAAAAAAAAAAAAAAGATTACAGCTTAAGAAACCCCATGGAGAAGTTCAGTTCTATCACACTGGGATGTTGTGAGTCAGAATCAACATGACTATCCCCAACAACAACAACATTATAAGGAACATGCTCCTTAAGCAAATGGCTAATTCTAGGGAAAGACTAAGACTAGGAATCCAGGCCTGGTGATTTGCTTCTGAAAGTCAGCCAGTAGAAACCCTATGGATCACAACAGATTATTATCTGATATAATGTTGGAAGATGAGGCTCCTAGGTTGGAAGGCATTCAAAACACACAAGGAAGTACAGCACACCAACAATCATGAAGCCGTTGCAGGATGGTCGACATTTTGTTCTGTTGTACCTAGGTTTGCTATTAGTTAGAGCTGACTCTACAGCAACAAACAAGAGAATACAGCAGCACAGACACACCAAACCAAATCCACTGGAGGTGGACGGACTTTTGGAGTCTTCTGAAACTGTCTGTTCCCTCCTTGTGCGTAAGTGATTACACTTTCTTCTCTCTTCTCTCGGTGTGACTAAATGGCTCTGCGCACAGCCCACATTTTGGGTAACACTGTAGGTAGGGTTGCTAGGAGTCCGAATAAACGCCACAGCAAAGCGTTTGTGTTTTATTTAATATACTGTATGTATGAGATTTCAAGATATTGGAGAAAGCATCACTCTGCCTTCACTTTATACCTCAAAAGATTGCGTCTAAATTACCTCGTTATCAACAGAATTCTATTTCACCTCCCTTAGGAAAAAGTTTCACTCTTGAGGCTAGAACTATAAGGCCTCCAGATCTAAAGACCAAACTCCACAGAAAAACTTCCGTGGGGCTGGGGTGCAGCACTGCTCACTTCCAAACTGGGAACTTTGGAAAAGCCACGAAATGAAAAGACCCCACAAGGTTCTGTCCGCACATTCGCTACAAGCACTAGGTCAAGTCCTCGACCCTCCCCAAATCAGTCTCCCTATTTGTACAATGAGGAGAATGTGGATGAACGAAATCGGATCGCTACAGATAGTTACAAGTTGCAATATCTGAAGTACCTGGTGAGAAAAACAAGAACAACAACAAAACTCCCGACAAAATAGTGCACCCCGCCCAAGAGCGGTGCCCGTTTACCCTGCGGCTCCTAACTGCGCGAGTCGCTTGATCACCGAAAGTGAATCAGCAGCGGGCGGGGCGAACCTGGGATGGGCCGCGGCCGGGCAGGGACTGGCGGCCGGGGAAGGCGGAAGGAATCGTCAAAGCCGGTCACTTAGGGCGGAGCGGCTCCCTTTCCTGCTGCTGTGGAGCCCCCCTCGTTCCCCGAGTCCCGCTAGCGCCATGGAGACGGGGTTGCTGTGGTTCTGCAACTGGAGTACACTAGGTGTCTGCGCCGCGCTCAAGCTGCCGCAGATCTCCGCCGTGCTGGCGGCGCGCAGCGTGCGGGGCATCAGCCTCCCGAGTTTACTTCTGGAGCTGGCGGGGTAAGGCTCGGGGCAGTAGGGACAGCTTCCCTTCCTCCCTTGCCTCTTGGTCCGGAAGTTACTTGGAGCCTGGGAGAGAGTCGAGGTCAAGTAAGAAAGGGGCTGGAGGCAGATCCTACGCGCCTGTTTAGCAGCAGTGCGGCTAAGAGTTAACTCGGTAAGCCGTGACAGAGTGCCTCGGCGCTGCAGGTAGCACTTCTCAGGATTGTTCTCCATTCATTGTTTGAAGCCCACTAAGTCCTGTGTGGGAGCTCTGGTAGTAGTGCCTAAGGCACTTGACTGCTAACCAGAAGGCTGGTGGTTCAAACCTATCAGCCACTCCTCGGAAGGAAGATGGGGCAATCTACTTCCGTAGTGATACTGCCTCAGAAACCCAAGGAGGGGTCGCTATGAGTCGGGTCGACTGGGCGGCACATAATAACAAGTCCTGTATATGTAGCTCCGTGCTGTGGTTAAAGCATTCGGCTGCTAACCAAAAGGCCGGCGGTTTGAACCTACCAACCACTCTGTGGGAGAAAGAGGAAGTCTGCGTTCAAAAGGATTTACAACCTTGAAAACCCCATGGAATCTACTCTGCTGGCAGCCCTGTGTGATACTAATTGAGTAAGCATCCCCATTCTGCAGATGAGGGAACTGAGACCTAGAGACATCAGCACTAGCCCATCAGTGACAAAACCAGCCTATAATGAGCCTTGGCAATTTGAGGATCTCATATCCATCATCCTCTAGGGCCTAGGTTTCCTCACCTGTAAAATGAGAGCTTGAGCTATGATCTCTAAGGACCTTCCTAAAGGTTTTAAAAAATTACAAAAAAATTTGGAGGGTGAGGAGAGGCACTTGAATAGGCTCTTGACAAATGGACAAGGGTCAGACAGGTATCTGGGAGCTGAGAGTGTTCAAGGAGTGAGTGTATCAGAAACTCAGAATGGGTGTCCTAACATTTGGTTGGAAAGACTTAAATTAGTAGAAAACACAGTACATGCAATACAGCAGGCTGGCTACTTGTACTGGCACTCTTCCCTTTGCTCCTAGACTGCCCAGTCCCCACTGTTATCACTCCAGGGCTCACTGGAATGGGTTCTTGACTAAAGCACTCCTGGTAAGGGGCAGCCTGGTTGGCTTGACCCAGAGATCCTGGGAGAGAAAGAAGGCAAGAGAGGGAAAGAGGAGACTTGTGGTGTGGAAGGGGTGAGGGGCCCTGCACTGAATACCGCAGGATGGGCAGGAAGATGAGAGGCTGTGCCCAGGCCCTGAAGCTCTGCGCCTAGCTCTGTGGGGCCACCCTGTGCATTTCCATCAGAGAGGCGTTGAGGTGCAGCCAACTGGAGGGTACATAGTCCTCTTGGGTTTGTAAATGACCCTGTGCTGGGAGAGTGCAAGCAGTATGGCAGGGATTGGAGAGTGGAGAGAGGGGGCCTAGTCCGGGATGGGGAAGCAACAGTACATTTTAGATTGGGGCAATAGGTTCCCATGGAAGACAGGAATTAGGGAGTAGGGCAAAGGAAATGAGTGGAGATGGCTCAGTTATTGTGGGGGTCTGGGGTTATGCGGTGGAGGATGAAAGCTGGCTGAGGGAGTATTCCCAAGGGTATGGGAATCCAGGGAGAAAGGCTTGAACTCAGTTCATTGATATGTCTGTGAGCTGGTAAAGATGGGGCTGACTGTGCAACATGAGTAGAAGGACAGATGCTTATAAAGTGGGGACCTGCTGCAGTACACCATCCCAACTCCCCCCATCAACTCCACTGCCTGCATTCCTACCATTTTTGCTCTATTACTTTAACATTATTGCGATCCAGGAACATAGAGTGTCCACCTACATTTTCTGCCTCTGGCATTTAGTGGAAAATTGCTATCCCACCTTTAGTGCATGCTGCCATCTGGTAGGAGCCTTTATAATTGTGTGAATCTAAGGAAATAGGCCTCATCTCACCAACACCAGCACCAGAGACCATTCAGGACATGTGTGTCTCACTAATTTTATCAAACTTCACACTCAAAAGAAAAATCTTTTTTCATTTCATCCAAAATACCTTCCATTACTGAAAACAACAACAACAAAATCAAAGCAGAAAACAATTTAGTCTTGAAAGGTTAAAAACACAGATCCACAGAGGGAACAAAAGAGTGAAAGCTCATTTTAAATCCATTGTCACTAAAACTTTAACAACAACAACAAAAGCATTTCTCCTGACCCAGAGAGACTAAGGGTGGGTTGGTGGATGGGGAGGCTTTCAAAGCAACTGCCATCCCAAGGAGCCTGTCTCAGGGCCTTGCAGTTGCACACCTTCAGGGAAAAGTAGATGCATGGTAGTCTGGCCCTCCTGCCTCTGAGGTTCTGCCCCAGGGTTGAGTAGAAATGCCAAAGTCAGGCGCAGACTTCTGTAAACGGGTTACGTGGTATTAAGGCCAAGCTCTAACGCCAGCCTCTCTATGAAGCCCAGTTGAAAGTGACAAGAGGCTCTACCCACTGAACAGCATTTTATCTGTACCTCAGACAGCAATTTATTATATAAGTACCATTTTGTGAGCATTTTCTTTGTGTTAAACACTGTTTAGACTTATGCATTGCCTTTTTAATCCTCACAACAACCCAGAGAAGTGGAGTAACTCGCCCAAGCTCACAGGCTACAGCAGTGCTGTGATCTTACCTCCATCCTCGTTCTTCCCACTCTGACTCCTCTTTCCATTCCCACACTCACTGGGTTTTTCTAGCTTTTGGAAGGAAGGTTGGGCAATCCTACTTCCATAGTGATACTGCCTCGGAAACCCAAGGAAGGGTCGCTATGAGTCGGGGCCGACTCGACGGCAAAT